GTTATTAATGTAGCTTTTTTAGACAAAAGTAGGCATAATGAAAACAACAGTATGGACAGACCCTTCTATTGTAAAAGTCTTTGTTTTAGCTTAAATGAGGTGTACACAACTGTAATGGAGTCCAACCAAGCCAAACCAAAGAAGGGTCTCTTCAGTCACAGTGGATTCCTGAGCACATGATTTCATAGGCAAATTCACTATCACCAACCACAACATTGCCACTGGCTAAGCTGATTTTGGGCTAGGTCAGCCTTATCTGAGAAGGATAGCAATTCCTTGCTGATAAATCTAATACAAATGTGGTGACCAAATTCTGCACTTCAAATCTGAAGAATTTACTAATGGTGTGGTTATTTTTGTTGTTGTTATTAGCCAGGTTAATAAGTAATAATTCTAATCAGAATATCAATGTGTTGTTACATTTTGCCTCTCATCTTAGAAAAGCAATCAGTTGAATTGCTATAAATATTTCTACTGTCTGGTTGTAGGCTTCTTGTGTAAAGAAAAATATTCTGAGCAATGTCAATGTGAAAAACTGGTGAAGGTGTTATAGAGAGCAGGTTAGTGCAATTATAAAATAAACATCACATGGGCCCAGAGCGGACATCCACACAGTCAAAATCATGGACGGACTCCAGAACAATTTTGCTCCATGTATTTGATATATACCCTTTAATTTGGAGAAGATGCTATGTCAGGATTTGTCATGTCCAAGAAAATTCTTGAGCTAACCTATTATACAAACAAAACAAAAGATACTCTAAATAAAATATGGCCAACTACTGCATTCTACAACATTGCCATTTGAAACTCTGTGTGAATGTGTTTTTCTTAGGAATATGTAGCTTTCTCTGTCTAAATCTGACCATCCATAACTGTGTAGCCTGGCCAGTAACCCTCGGCAGTGTCTAAGTCCCAAGTTTTTAAATGTCTTATTACATCAATTTTTCGTCTTATATTATTCAGTATTTTGTAACTGAAGAAAAGATCATCTAAAATGCAGAACATTGGGGGATTATCCAATTTGGAAACCCTTCAATGGGTTAATTATTGTTGCACAGTGGGCGCAATTGATAAATGACTAGACAATGGTTGAAGAATTCTGCCACAATGCTACCAGATGGAGAAATGCACTAGAGGATGATATTCCGTGATTTAGCAGATAAATTGCACATGGTCCCAGACAAGGACTTCTGAGTTTAGATGGCCATGACCAGCTGCTCTGCCTCTGAAGCTCAGACCCTGCAATGATCAAAAGCAGACACCAGGTCAGTAGACCCTGATGAGCCCTTGGGCTGCAAACCTTCTGTATTGTCTTCCTCTGATCTATGTATTTGGATCAAGTAAGAATTTCACAGGTGACCTGTAATTTGCTTCCATTCTAAAATAACACAGAATGACTTATCAACACACCTCTCCATTACTATGTAAACCTTGCCAATGATTAGTCACTTTCTATATCTATCGCTACTTCTCTATATCTATACAAGTTAAATGTATAGAAAGCACCATTATGAGACTCAGACAATTTGTTTCACTAGGAACCCTGGTTTAACATGTTGAGTTGATTTGAAGTGCTACAGCTTTAAGTGAGTTTTTACCATATAATGCATTTATAATATATTAATGTATTTCTTTTAGACATGCAGTTATTAACTACTCCTCTAGCAGGGTTTTTGTTTTTTTGCTTGTTGTATTACTAATTGGGGATCCTATTTTAAGCAGCTTTAATTTATACACCATTAATTTGATAAAAAGAAAAGCAACTAAAATAGCAATGCGGATGTTAATATCCTCACAAAGATGTGACCAGAACTGTACTCTGTCTAAATAAAATCCTAACAATTTGAAGGAAGCTGATGTCTAGATGAGTAAGGCTGTAAAAAATAAAACCAACTGTACCACCTCACTCCTGTCAGAATGGCTATCATCACTAAATCAACAAACAACAAGTGCTGGTGAGGCTGTGGAGAAAAGGGA